TTCCAACTCCACTGTTCACACTCACCCAACTCTGGATCACCCTGAATACCCCACACACATCCACTGTATTACAGACTCACACTTCAACGCCTCTCTCCTATCTACAGCGACTATGGCCGCTCAACTACTAACTATGGCTACGATATCTTCTTCTGGCCCACTTCAGCTTCGGGCACTCTGCAGATCACCTCGCACAAGATGCTTGAGACAGCGCTTCCACATGGCTTACGCAGCGAATGAATGAATTGCTGGACGCTGCCTCTTGATTTATACTTCTGTTGGTCGCTGGTCTGCCCCTTTCCTCCAGGCCCTTGGTGCACACAGTCCCACATGGTACTTGCTTGACTGGACTGTGATTGACTGGGACCGGTACCGCTGACTGCACGGGGTTGCTCTGCCGACTCGACGCAGTTACGACTTGCCTACAGTCTAGCCTAGCAGTTTCGACCTCTACACAACTGTAACCCCTACTTGACAGATCTACAGATCGAATCCCTACAACTACAGGGACCTACGACCAAGAACTGTCACTACTAAAACACAGGTCGCGGGCTCAAAACACACAAAGGGGTCTACTCGATACTGTACACGGGTGCAGGTAAGGTCTAGGGATCGAACCCTGGGATCTGCATCAGCTTCTGCAAAGGTGAAAACCGTTTCAAAACAAATCCAGCACAAGAAAATGAGAAACATATTATTTACATTACACCGAGGCTTTGGGTTGCTGCGTACAAGAATAACTTTTTTTCTCCGTTTCCCGCTCTCCGCCACTTCCCGCCCTCTGCCAATTCCCCCCTCACTGCCCCCCTGCCCTCAGCCATCGCCCCTCGCGCTCTGCCATTACGTAATCAATTCGATTGTGCAATCGAGCCAAATGCACAATCAAATCGATTATGTAATTGCGTCGTGCAACCCGGGGGAAAAAAGAAAACAAGGAAAAAATTTATGTTGTGCAGCATCTCCAAACAAGAAACAGTTGTCTGAACACTATCACAAAATTCTTATTCAAAATGTGGTAAGAACATAAAACGAAAAACAAACAACCTAGATAAACAAACATCCTACGACTCCTATCCACTATCCAGGTGGTTTGTTTTTCGTTTTACATTTTTTTCCACGTTTTGAATAAGAATTATGTCATGGTGCTCAGACAAATGTTTCTCGTATAGAGATGCTGCACAACATAATCGGTTTTCATATTTTTCAGTTTTTTTTTCCTCTGCCCGCACAACGCGATTCTGAAATTGATTCGATTACGCAATCGAATCAATTTTAGAATCACGCCGCGAGGGCGGAAAAAACAAAAAACAAAAACACTCTCCAAAAAATCTGAAAAACATATATGTTGTGCAGGTTCTCCATAGAAGTAGTTGCCTGAGCACCATCACGAAATTCTTATTAAAAATGTGGAACAAAAATAAGCGACCTAAATAGGTCGTTATATATTTTATTATTTTTCATTTTTCCACGTTTTGAATACGAATTTTGTTTTAGTGCTAACGCAAATGTTTCTTGTACGGAGATGCTGCACAACATATATTTGTTTCAGATTTTTAGGAGT